GGAAATGGAAAAGGTATATTTTCTTTCATCTCTAAGCATATATATATACATATATATTCATTTATTCATTTATTCATTATTTATTTGTTTATTTAATTTATACTTTAAAGAGAGGAGATATAGAGGTTGATCTTTTTTCGCTCTATTGATTCTGGCGCTGGAACGTATTCCGGCACTCTTGCTACACTTGTCCCGTGCACAAATCTCTTGTGCAGATCTCTTTGCTTCATCCTTGTTAACTCCGTTGCGGTCATCAAATAAGATGCTTTCGAGCGTCTTAATGTGCGCTATCGATTGCATATATACCTCGATGAGAACAGATATACCGATTTACTTTCCGTTTCGTCTATTCATATAATCTCAGCGTTAAAATTCAGAATGTCCTGACAGAAGTATTGCCTAACTGATTGTATATTACTAATCGTGGCATTTAAATATTGTTATCTGCGGTCTTGGAAAATGCCAAAATTCCAGATGCTTCCCTGTTGATCTCGACTTTGTATTCCATTTTATATGTATGAATAAATTTATAGGAGTTCAGTTTTTGTGTGCAAGATGACATAGAAGAATACACTTTATTAGTACAGAAAAAAACGAAATGTATGCAAAAACAACAAATAACAATAATGATGACAACAACAGTAATGAGAGTGAATGATAACAGTAATGACTATTTCTGAAAGTAATTATTTGATGAATGACTGAAATGTATAGAAAAGTTTGCCCGGTAAACTTCCTGATGATCAAAAGGATACATCTGTAAGCATATGTTTCTACCTGTTTTGTAACCAATTCAAGTGCCTCTGAAGACCGCCACATGCTCCATAATATCGCTTTTTTGCATGCATGTGGACTTTCAAATGTCATATATCATATTTTCATTGGATAGAAGCAAAAGTATCAAAAATTGATCCTTTCCATCACAAAACTGCCAATACCTTCCAGTTCACGGCGAAGATGACTCATTTTAATGCTTCTGCTGATACTATTTTTCTCAATTTTTTTTACTTCATATAAGTCTCACATTTATTAAGCTTTTTCCTCAAGAAGTCGTACACTTTCAGTGTGACTGCGGACAATTTTTCGTCTTACACGTAAAACAATTGTCAGTTATTCGACCAAATATCTCAGGCTTCCAAATCATACTTTTGGTTTATACTTTCTTACTTTCCACAGTCCATTCTTGAGCATATAAAGTCTAGCTTATCATTTATTATATTTTTTCTTTTAAAGGTTTGAGAACTTTTTCAAAAATTTGATGGATTTCTTCGATGAAGTTTTTTCTGAATGGAAACTTGCAAATTCGAGATATTCTGATGCATTTACCGTTTTTACAACATTTAATAATGTCTTTTGAGATTTAAAGTTAGTCTTTTAAATCAACAGAAAGTCCTCTTTCAAAAGGTTATAAAATTTTATTTTGTCTCAGCAATTTCCAATTTAAATAGAATTAAAGATTGCAATTAGACAGTAGTTAAATATGTTAAATTGATAAAATAGAAAGATTAACCTCATTAAATAGAAAGATTAACCTCATTAAATAGAAAGATTAACCTCATCTCCCCAATGCATCATAGATATTTTCAAAACTTTCTAACTGGAGTAAGATATTCTATGACACATTAATTTTGAAGAAAAAATCTGATCAAAAGAATTTAGTTGTGAATGAAAATGTTTTAATTTGCTAAGTTATTAGTTTTACCTTGATCTTAATAGTACCTAAAATATCATAAGCAGTAAAAAAATTAAAAAACCACTGATGTGAAATACTGTTAGGATATGATGTATTTGACTCTTAACAGCAATACTAAACTTCAATTTAAAAAAATTGTGAGTTTTGTGCTGCTATTAATTTTATGTGTTTTGCAGAGAAAAAATTAAAATTCAAAAAATTTTTTGTATTAGACAAATTGAAGTGCATTCTCGTGGTGATCAAGAGTTTGGCTTATGAAGACAAAGCTAGCTGCCGCTTTTTCCCTTTGAATTCCGACTTCAGCTGAGTTAACCTGAATAATTCTTTGATACGTTTGAAATAATTTAAAAAATTCGCTATTTTAGGTTAGAATTGTTCGTGTATAATTTTTATTAGTGCTTTATGGCATCGTACGATTTTCCACCCGTAGGATCATCTGCTGATAAGTCAGTCTGTTTGCATGAAACGAACGGTCGACTAGTTTATGGCAAGAAAGAAGAACTAGAAGGAATTGAAGAGCATGCTCTGGTACGTTGCTTCTGTTTTCTTTATGCAAACAAATTATTGTGTATAATCGTACAGATGTATTTACAATTTGCTTACGAAGTTAGTATTGAAGATATGTAAAGTTGTAAAGCTGTTAACAAAAGTTATAAGGAGGAGTAGCTATTTTTGTTAGATTAGATTATTTTGCAGTTGAGTCTATACCTTTGTTCTAGTTTTTTTTTTTAATTTGCGAATTTTTTAGCTATGTAATTATCCAAAAATTGAGGAACGATCAACACCTCCATTGGAACAGTCACTTTCTCCTGGCTTACTTCGGGAAACTTTTGTAAATAGTAATCAAACTCTTTTCCAGAAAGCTGTAAATAACTGGTCAGTAAAAACATTATTTCATTTTTTTCGGTTTAAATTTCATTTTAAAGGCTACTAAACGCTCTCTCAAATGTGCAAGTATCACTTTGAAAAGTAATAAGAATAATAGTTTTAAAAAAAATGTATCTATTTATCTACTCTCTATTCATTTTTCTTCATTTATTTACCTGCTTTTATGCTTATCTATTCATTTTGGATTTATTTATATTACTTACAAGGACAAACAAAACCATCGGAAGTGTGGTAGAGTGTGTTAAAGGTGCCGTAAATGGTACTACATCCTTGGGTGATTGGTTTTCATCTGCTGGTGAAATCATTAAACAAGCTCGGGGAGATGTAATTAATGCTTTCACGAGAACGGAAGAAGATATGAATGCAGTCATCTCACGTTTTTCATCAACTTTGAATTGGTAATTCTGGTTTTATTACATTGTATGATTCATGCCTTAGTTTTTTTTTTACCTATGTTCTATGATGTAGTTTGATTACTGAAAAACGGTCCTTTAGTTTTCATAAATGAAAAAAATGCACTGTTGCATTTCGAACCTTCAGAAGTATTTCACAGCAGCAAATTTTGTTTTAATTATAAATATAAGTCAAAGTAAACATAAGCCTGTTTTAAAGAACATAAATTGTGGTTGTTGAAATTTAAATCTACGATTTAGGTCTACAAATTGGGTGCGCTGTGTAGCGGTTCACAGTACCGGTCTCAGAATTGCCGTTTGCCGAGCAAATGATAGCATCAAAATTTTTTTTTGCAATTCTGATCGACCACCCATTACATTAAAACATGAATGCCAAAAAAGCGTTACTGATATGGCATGGAAGTAAGTAGTATTCTCTTCAGTTTTTTTTTGTTTTTAAAATTGAGTTTAAATTTAGTATTAATCATTTTTTATGCCTAGGAAAATTTTGTACTAGTCTAGTTAAATTGTTATCACATTTACCAATTCCACCGCTTATCGATCGGGCATTTCAGACCTTTTGACCGTATGGTACTAGCTGTTGCTTGTGCTAATACTGTGCTAATTTGGAGGCTTGAGAAACAAAACGTGAATACTCGGTGAGTTAATTTGTAATTTTTTAAATTGCAATTTGAAATATTGGACAAGTCATCTTTTTGAAGTACAATGTAGTCTGTTAAGGTATGTATTTTTAGGCCATCTCCTTACTGTGCTGAAGTAATCGAAATGTCATCATTTTCTCCAGTCGCACAATGCTTTTGGGACTGTGTCTTTGTTCAAGCTTTGTTCGTTGTTTCTGCATCTTCTTCGCGTATAAAAGTATTTTTACTATAGTTTAACTTAATTGCATGCATTAATTAAGCTGTAAAGTAGATTGGTTCCGAATAATAAACTTGCACTTTCAGTACAGTTGCTTTGTGCACCAGCTTTATCTATAAAAATTTTATATTTCCATCATGAAGAAACTTCTGAATATGGTGCTACTATAAAGTAAGGATAAAGAAGCAGACTTAAACTTTTTTTTATTAGGTTCTAGATACAAGCAGCGGTGAAAGCGAAACATTCGGCCATTGGACTGGTAATTACATTCGACATATCTGGATTTCTCCAAATGGTTTCAAATTAGCCGTTGCTTACGACAGTAATTTCATAAGGTACTCAGCTTTTTTAAACTTTCAAGCTTTAACTAATTTTATTCAATTTTACGTTGTCTTTTAGTGTTTATGATCGACTTTCATGGCATGAAGAACAGTGGACTAAATTGAAAGGTGTCTGCATGGCAGCAGTTTGGAGTCCTCATAGCGATGTTTTATTTTTTACGGCTCAACATGAGCCCATTATTCGTGGTATTCATTTTATACAAAAACTACAAAATGGAGGTGACTCGTAAGTGATTTTCTGTTTTTTGTTTATTTAAAAGTGTGCAATATCTAGATTTCTAAACCAAAGTTTTCTTTTTTGTTTCCCATAGTTTTACTTGAATTACAGTTTGCTCGTTCACTAGATTTACCTTAATATTTTGCATGACAGGGCGAAGATTTGCAGAACTTTTAAGTTTCTGAATTTTGGAATCCCTTATTACATTTATTTCTTCGTTTTTCAAAACTTTTGTTCTTAATCAGTTTTCAGGGTATATCGATGAAGATATTTCTCTGCAGTATATAAATTGAAAATCTTATAGGCTGTCATTTGGATCGGAGAATGCCGTTGTTGTATATGATCTCTCTGAATTTATAATAAAACATTTAAATGCAAATTCAAATTCTGACCATAGCAGCATTGATGTATCTATTCGTGATATGAAAATTTCACCTGATGGACAACGAATTGCAGTAACCTTCAGTGGTAAGAAATAAGCTCTTTTGAACATGATAATCACTAGAATAAATTTATTAAATTGCTGCATTTAGAGACATTAGTATCCAAGAAATATTTTCGCCTAATTTTAATTCATCTTATATCTTTGTCAGCTATTTTAATCTTGATAAATGATTTTAAAAGTTCTGGCTTGCAGGAAATCCAGCAATTATTGCTCTGTTTGTTGTTGAAACAATGCCAACATTTTATTTTGCCCCTTGCGGATTGATTGATGGAACAGGAAACTTTGGGCTGGCGTGCATTTTGTCGTTTTTCCCGAAATTTGATTACGGGTCCTTGTTGATGATTGTTAGTTTTAAATTAAAGTAAAATTTCGTAGTTAATTTCAGCAAAGTTTTTTCCAATCCTTATCTTCATAAAAATTATGCTTGGAGACTGGTATTCACAAGGTGCTGCCAAGCCCTGCACTTATTTTCTTGCAATATAATTGCGACATGGAACGCAACCAGATCGACCCTGGCAGGACTCGAACCTGCAGTCTTCGCTTTAGGAGAGCGACGCCTTATCCATTAGGCCACAGGGCCAGTGACACGTCTGATTAATTAAATCAATTAATTTAACTTTTCTTTCAAATTTTCTATACTTGGCGTAATGAGTTATTTGCTCGAAATTTCATGTATGACACGGCTAAAAACAGAAGTCAACTATATCATTATTACAATATTTAGGTATGGTCAGGCGGAAAAATACAGTATATACCTTTCTTGTATGGTTCTCTTGCGAATGAAGGTATTCGCTTAAATGGAATCAAAAAAAACAAGAAGATGCGGAGTGTTACAGCAGAAGACTTCCTTGTTAGAGAGTCTTTGTTAACTGGAAAGATAAATTCAAATGCTAGTAGCGAAATAACCGAAAAGAAAAAGAATTCAGTGGGTTCTTGTGATGATCAGAGTTGCAGCGAAAAATCTGCAACATCTTCTGAATCAGGAATAAAGCTATTCTCGTCAGTTGGGCTCTTCGATTTGCTTTCGACGAAAAGTGCTGAACAAAATTCCTGACCGTACTATCTCTCATATTCCTATAAAGTCGTTGTTCTGCTGAGACCTTCAAAAAATTTATTATCTTTAATTTACATAACTATTGAACATAAACATACTATTGAGAGAAGCTTTTATTCAAATCCCTTTAATTGATTTCAAAGGGTTCCTCAAAGTCATAGTTTTTAATGTCACATTTTTCTTATTATGATATTTTTCTCAGTATTATAATTAAGTCAGTATTTTATGTGGTTTTATTTTTACCGGTCTGTAAATGAGAAAAGTGATAAAAAGTAGGAACACAAGCGCATGAAAAACGAATTGAAGCTTTGTGCTTGAACTCAGGGTTTTCGTGGTTACTATTCATTTTAAAATTTGATTGAAAAATTGTAATTGTAATAGAATGCAGCTTGTTCATTCAATGAATTCATATGCATCGTAGCTATATAAAGAATTTTTGATGGAAGTCGTGACAGCACTGAAAATGCTCTAATCATTTGGCCAATGGCAAACAAAGATTAATTTGCTTTGAAAATCATTCGTTTGCCAATCTCTGGAAGTTCTTATTCTATATTTTATAAGGCAAATATCAGAAATTTTTGGTTATTAATTAATCCTGGATAATCTCATAAACTTTATGGATTATATTGTTTTTGAAGAGTGAAACAGTTTTGGAAGCTTATCATGTGAGGAATAGATGAGGTTTTTTTTCAGTGATTGAACTGTACTCATTTACACAAACAGCAATTTTTCTAAATTACGACAGGAAAAACTAAACGGTATTATAACTGCTTTTTGTGTGAAGGGGACTGTTTTTAAGATACGTAAGAAATAATAGGTTATTTATTTGCTATGCATTATTCTCAGTTTCTGTATCTCACTTTTATCAATTTTATAGAGGTCAGAATTCAGACCTTTTTAAAGTAAATAATTTTGTCGAGGATGATTCTTTACCACTATCCATTGTTGAATGTAAGCTTAATTTTTGATTTCTCATTTCTGTAACTATAAGCAAACTCAATATTTTTAATTGTTCAGTTCTGTTATTACAGGCAAATTCTGTATAAATATGTATATATAATTTATTTATAAAGAGAAATATGGAAATTGATTTTTTTTTCCACTCTTCTGATTTTGACACATTTTTTAATTGCTCGGCTCTGCCGAGTCGCCAAGCGGTTTGAGTTGCCAGCTGGTGGATCGCATCAAAAAGCAGGAAATGGAGAATAAACGCAAAAAAAAACCGAAATCATGAATGAATCCATGAAGAACATGGAAAAGTACTCGACCTGTATACCCGAACAAGCAGAACGGGTTGCCGGTCGAGTACAGCAAGAGTACCGAAACACGATCCAACGTGAGAATCAAGAAGGCAGAAAAGAAGATAATCTCCGCTATATATATATTATTTTGTTGACTCTACTGAGTTTCCGAGCAGTTTGAGCTGCCAACTATCGCATTACCAAGCAGGAAATGGACGATAAAGGAAAAATAATATTCGAAACCGAGAAAAACGCAAATATGACTTCCAGGCTAATAAAGATGGATCAGAGATGCAATGCAGGACTAAAATAATTCCGTATGTAATGACTGGGGATGGGATTGTAACAAACTTCCATAGACACCACGCGAAGCAGACCAGTGTTGGATCACGTCGAGGCATATATCCAATCGATGAGCACAACAAATCTGAGCGCGGATCAAGTACAGCCAGAGTGCCGCAATACGATTCAACGCCAGAATGAATAAAGTTGAAAAAAAGGCTAGCCTTCACATTTTTCTTAATATATTTAGTATTTTCGGCTTTGCCGAGTTGCTGAGCGGTCGATTGCTAACGGCTGTGCTCGGAAAACAAAATAGAGGGTAAAAGAACAAAACCTGCGTCTGAAATCATAAATGAAAATAATGGAAAAACAAAAACAGCAACAAGAAGTTCCGTGAAGGCTATCAGAAGGCATTATACTGGTGTACCGGTATCAGGTGCCAACAGAGTGGTCACGCTCGAAGCACTTGTTTCGTGAAATCGAGATTTCATAAAGCAGGTAGTCAGAGCTGAAAGCTTGTCACTTCATGTAAATTTATGCTGGCCAAATGTGCTCTAAGTGGCCTTCAAATCGTCTTATTACCTGAAATGATTGTGAATACAGTTTAAATGTCGAAGATGAATCGTAGTTTTTTTACACTTCATTATTGTTAGGTTAGAGATCATTCATTAAAAAAAATTTTTGATGTACCATAATCGAAAGTATAGGAAAGATTGATAAAACCGTGGAAAAATGAATCTGATAACAGATATATGTATATGATTAGTAGCACTGAACTACATTCATTGAGAACTTTTGCGTACAAACTGAAGATTTATAAGATTTTCATCTAAATTGACTGGTAATATGATATCACCTTTAAAATTACAAAATACCTTAGATATGATTGCTAAAAATACAATAGACTTTTAAAAAGGTAAGATACACTTTCATACCTTGTACCTTGACCTTGACTTGTTACTATTAATTACTAACTCTGACTAAGTTCATCATGTAGCAGACAGAAACAGTGAGTTTGAGCCGAGCTATTTTATGCATTTTTTCAAAAAAGAAAAGTAACACGGCATGAAGTAATTAATATTGTTACTTCTTTTCTGGCATTTGCAAGTCTGCTCCTTTTTTGTGTGGTATTAAGTCCATTTCGTTTGTCCAAAACAATGTTTTTATTTAATTTTTGCTAATTTTCTATAATTTATTACACTCTGTTAAGTTGCTATTTAAGTAATATTATGACTAGAAAGATTGAGTAATAAATTAGAATTCAGTCAAAAATATAGTTTTCTAAAGAATTAATTTTACTGCAACTTTTTACAGAATCATCAGCATACTTATTGTTATAAAAGACCAAAAATTATTAGTTTTAATGAAATTTCATTATTAACTATGACCTGACAAGTACTTCTTCACAACGTTTTCAATCAGTCGTCAATATATATTTGCCAATTTCTTGATTGACCTCCTTGAACAGCCATACAAACAAAGGAAATATTTTACTCACATACAAATATTTATTCTTTTTCTGATAACTGATAATTCTCTAATAGTATTGCATTTCAAAGCATTATCACAATCACCCGTATAATTTTTAATCAAATTCCACTCCTCAAATTTTAGTAAGAGAGTAGATTAAAATTTGATAATTAATTTCATTTAGGCGGAACAAAAAGAATTAAATTAGAATAGCTATACAGAGGAATTGATGGGTGAATAAATCCATAATATAATATTAATTGAATCTCAATTAATTATTGTAATTGGTCAAGTAAGAATTATTTGAAAATGGGTATAGTAATTAAATGTGATAAGAATCAAATTTTGGTTGGGAACGAGCAATGCTGTTAATTTCATTGAAGTAGCATTACAATCATTTTTAATGTACCTCGCAGACCAAGCATTTTAAGGTATTTTGAATACGAATCAAGAACTCGTTAAACAGGTTGATAGGATAAAGAAATGAAATCATGCTTGTTAGCCTTCTACACCTATTTATGTTTACCATTTTAGATTATTTTCCATCCTTATATATATATATATATATATATATATATATATATATATATAT